CTTAAGGTTTAGGTCAATTGCACATGTGTACATGGTTTAGTCACCTTCAGTCAGTTATGTATGGAATCACTTCAATAAAAGAACACAAGAACAATACACACATACATACTAGGGACCGACTGATATTATGTCTCCCCCCAGCTCGGTTCCCACATCTTTTAAATTTGAAATGGACCTAGTTCTTTAGCCTAGCACCTCTAATGGTCTACAATTTGTCTCGTATGGCCCTCAGATGGACACAAACTGGTAACATATGGCTTATTCCGGGTTCTACTCTTCTCATTACAATCACCTTTTCTTCACTTGTCTTTCTCCTTCATGATCCTCTCTCTCTCTCCTTCTGTTATTGAATAGTTTTCCTTGGTCTAAGCACCTTCTTTTTGCAGTCCTCGCTGAATCTCCAGGCCTGCCCATGCAGTATTTCTTCCTCTTCTGAGCTCTTGTTCATCAGGATATCAATGGCCTTCCTAATCCTCCGTTTTCTGATACTACCCATATGAGGCTATATTTTACGTTGAAATCCAGTCGATTGTGTGGTCAGTAAATGCAATTTGTTTAGCTATCTCTGATCTTTCCGTATTCATAGTTCTGTTTAATCGCTGGTGTTATTTGATCCTTGTGCTGATTGTATATCCAGTCCTTGCAATACTATGCTGTACATTCCAGAGCACTTCATTTTCTTGACTTATTCAAGCTGTGTGGGCAAGCTGATGAATAATGTTATCCTTTCCTCCAGGGTTGTACGGATGTTTCATTTCCTTAGTATCAGCAACAGCTACAGAGATAATTCGCAGGAGGGTAGAAATCCATCGGCTTTCGTTTGTTTCCTTTACTTGCCTTAGATAATCCTAGTCCTACAATCTGTCCATAACGATCTACATGTCGCAATGTATTGCTTCCGTTTCCAAAAAATATCTAGGTTAATTTTCCCGTACCAAATCCACGGTCCGACTCTGGAAATTATCATGTATACTATGGACTCTGGACAAGGTGCGTTCCTGTATGTCTTTCTGCCAATATTACCAAGTTGCGAAAACAACGTCAAACAACTACTATACAACGAAAGGAGACTACGACAATACAATAGGCCACACCATCTTGGTTTTCATAACATAGGTAGTAATCGCTGTGTTGATTAATCGGGTTGGAGGTTCGTCTCAGATTATCTCTGTCTCCGAGTATTTGTCTTATCTTTCCAAGATTTCCAGCCTTGTCGTAAGTGGTTCTCCTCAAAACTGGTGACTTTCATTATTTTGCAAAATTCGAATTTATTCCCTAATATATTCGCTAAACTGTCATTCACCTTTTTAACTGGAGGCAGATAAATTTCGCCTGTTTATGTATCGCTACATGCTCGTTGTTTACTATCGGTCTCAATGATTTTCCTTCTTAGTGTACTTTTGGCAAATCATATGTTGCGGGACTCTAGCATTTCTTCACATCGATGAATGTATCGTTCATTTGTAGACAGAAGTGAATTTCAAAGAATAACGGACATTTTCCATTTCACATTCTGTGTATGGATTGTCGATGAAGCAAACCTATATTTGCAATATATAAAGAGGAATCCGCCTTCGTCTTCTGGTAGGATCGACTTTTGCATATCTTCATCGAATATTCTCACTTGACATAGAAGTAACCTAAGCAAAATTATGTTGCCTTACGGTTTGATTGGGTCTTCTATATCTCTACGGTGTCGGCTTCATCTCGTTTTTATAAATTGGTCGGGCTGACAGAGCGATCTTTTAGAGCATGCCCAGCCTCGCGTCCTCCGTCATGGTAATTCCTAACCTAGCAGCCTTGATCTGTTGTATTATTAGTCACTACGTCGGCGTCAGTCCGTCTAAAGCGTCAGATTTAGCACCGGGCATAAGCTTTTCTGTGGTGCCTTATGTGATCGTGAATGGCAACTCCAACCCGAGGTAGAATTCTACACATCACTTCTCTCCCTCTCCCTCTCCCTCTTTTAAGACTCGTAAAATACAAACGCTTCCAACAGGGGGAGGAGCCACAAACATAGAACAGAAATTAGTATTGAATTGATTTGGCTTTATTGTTGCAAATTGGCCTTGTTGTCAGGGCGACTTACTAGAACGCACCTGGTCCGAAGTCGTCTGACAACATGACCAAGTTCCGACAACGAGGTCCACCCAGTTCTATAAATCGAAAGAAGACGGCAACTACACCAGATTCCCCACCATCTTGGTCTTCACGTCTTCAAATAAGCTAGTATTGTTTCAAGATTTGTAGCTCGCCACCACGACTGACGCTTTTGATAGTGAATAATACGATGAGGGCAAAACGATCGTCCCATGCCTAGTCAATGGTCCGATGTCATAAATTGACATGATTACACTTGTGAAAAGGATCCTTACCATCTTCATACGATGAGACGAGACAGACCGAACAAAAAGCTGCCTCTTCTTGGTCTTTATGTAAGACTGGCCTCTCTCTAAGGCCAGTTCCCTTTAGTCTCAGGCTCCTTTACGCATAA